CCATCTTTTCCAGGCGATTTGTTGTTTTTCATTTCTTTCAATGCCTTCTTTATTTCTGATTTGCTTATTTCGGAATGCAGCTCTGAGTTGACATTTTTTATTTTGACCCTAAGTTGGTTTTTAATTTCTTCTGGTGGAACCACCAGAAGAAAATTGGATTATAAATAAGAAAAACCAGTAAGATAGTAGCAACAGAGATGGAATGCCTGCGAAGATGCTGTAGAATAACAAGAATGGATAGTAGAAGACACACTAACATATATAGAACAAAAAAGCCTAAGTAAGGAGGAAAAGATGACAACCCCGAAGATCCTGGAGGAACGAAGTAGATGACGCAATGAGTAAGAGAGGTCTAACGATGGAGATTGGGACAATAGAGAGAGATGGAAATGGTTGAGTGAGGGAAGGCAGTGAATATAGTAGAATCCCTGAATATATATAATATATATATATATATATATATATATATATATATATATATATATATAAAATAGTGGATAATATGTCTGTTTACAATACTTTTCTTGTGGAAAGTATTTTTCGTACTTTAATTGTCCAGTCAGTTAAAGCTATTCTGGTTAACTCTGAAAAACTTCTGTTCTTGGTCGACGTCTAGCTCACAATTGCTAATAATAAATTCTTATTGATTTTGTTGTACCCTCCTGGCACAAAATCTTTATCAATACGTTCCTCTCTAAAAAAATTCATGTTAATCATAGTAACAAAGCAACTATAAAAATAGTATAATTTTAGAGTTTTAAGCAAGTTTAGTGTCAAAGTCATCGCTCAACGCCAACTGGGTAAAACATTATGTTTTTATTAATTTTTTTATCTCAATAATCCTAACTAGATAGATATAGGGAATGTTTAATAAATAATAAACCATCAGTGGATCGTGTGACTAATGTTGAGGTCCTACGTAGAATGGGCAAGAAATGTGAGATTATTAACACAATCAAAAAGCGAAAATTAGAATATCTTGCCATGTTGCCATGTCAAAAATAAACAGAGATATGGCTTGTTACAACTCATTCTTCAGGGTAAGGTTTTCGGAAAAAGAGGATCAGTGAAAAGAGGAATATCTTGGCTTCAAAGCCTGTCTTCGTAGGTATTGCAAGTCAGTGCCGGTTCAGTTTTATGCACCCAAGTCCTATGACTGTATATTGAGTATTCGAAACATTAATGGTGAATTTATAAGATCATCAATAAACCCATTACTATGATTTCTTTTCTATACATATACATATATGCTTGATGGTATTGTGCATAAGAAGTTTTGAAGAAGAGTAGTCATAACGATTCGTGAAGAGTTCGGTTTCAAACATATAAAGGTACCCATAAAATAATTTTTAATGTTTTAGATTTATATGTCTGCAGAATTTTGGTATTTCTTAATTTTACACATTATAATTCAAATCCGCAGATCCGCAGAAATTCTTTATGGATTCTTATTTATTAGTTGTTTCTGATTAATATGAATACCTAAATGCTTAATTTCATCCTTATGGTCCTAACTTTAAACTGATAGTTTATTTTACCCTTCTTCTTCTTCTTCTTCTTCGTCTAGCCATTCACGTCCACATCTGAACATAAGCCTCTTCAAGTCTTCCTTTCCATTGTTTTTTATTGTACGCTACTTGTAGCCAATTTTACCCTTATGATGAAGAATATAAAATTTTACATTTTCTATAGATACTAGGGACATCTTTGCAAACGTTTTTTTAAAAAACTTTTTTATAATTTTTCTTGTAATTACAATTTAATCTGCCTGGATCAATCTAACATAAAGACCGATGGGAAAGACCAGTTTCTGTGTTCACCCCCGTAAATATTGAAGCAGTTCATGACAATAATTTTATCAGACCCACGAATTGGACTCAAACAAATATCTGAGGCACTAAACATTTCATCTAAACGCCTCCATCATACATTTAACGTTGATTTGAACTGAAGAAATTTTCTGAAAGATGGATCTCCAAATGTTTAAATGTTAATCAGCAGCATGCAGGGGTACAAGCAGCGCGTTCGTGTTCACTTGAGTATATTTCTACGAGCCCGAAACAAAACAGCAATCTATTAAAAAGGGCACATGCTAGATCTCAAAGGCTTAAGAAAAATTTCGGGTTTAAAAATCTGCTGGAACAGTCTTGCTTCAGTTATTTGGGTTTGCCAAGGAGTAATTAATATGCTGGTCAATTTAGCAGTTCAGCAAGAAAAACACAATTTTATAATTTGAAATACACTTTATTATTCAGTATAGTCTCCATGAACATCAATACACTTGTTCCAACGAGATTCCGATATATAAATTCATCTTTGAAGTGAGAATCTGCAAGGGCTGCAAATACGCTTCCACAGCTGTTATTTTCTATCATTTGACGCATCACTTTCCACAGATGGAAGTCACTAGAGGACAAATCTGTTGAATACGGTGGATGCTCCAACAATTCAAATTTGAATTCATGGATTTTAGCCATTGTCAAAATGCTCATATGACACGGTGCATTATCTTGATGAAAAAGGATTTTTTTTTTTCTGAAAACCAGGTTTTTTTTCATAATTTTTTTCTTAATTCCTTTTGCATACCAAAAAAACTTCTTGGTCTATTTCTGGAAACAAACTCGTTTGGGGACCAAAGAAAAAGGTTCGCACCACTCTTTGGCCTCTAATTCTGTTTCAGGATCATTGAGATAGACCCAAGTCTGATCCATAGTGATAAATCTACGTACAAAATCTTCTTTAATCTTTCAAAAACACTCTGAATGCTGCTGAGGAAATCGCATTCGAATGTGTTTTCGTTCCATTGTTAACGAATGCGGACCCATTGACAAGACAGTTTTCTGAAACCAAATACTTTAGTCAAAATATTGCTTGCACTGCCCAATAAGATGACTAGGGTTTCTACTAAATCTTTTTTAGCCACTCCACAATTATTCAATACGATATCCTCTATTTTTTCTAGGATTCCTGGTGTTGTTGCTGTCGTGGACATTCTTGACGTGGATTATCTTCAAGGCTTTATACAAACACGTTTAAATTCAGCAGCCTATCTTAAATTTCTACTCTTATCTTAAAGTTCATGAATTTCCTTTATTTTTAAACCTTCCTACTACTACTACTATCGGTTTACAGAGTTCTCCGACGCCTTCCGATTCCTAACCGCCATTCTTCTCTATTCAACCATAGGTCTAAAGGAATTTCTCTTTCCTCTAGTTCTTTTTCAATTCCCTCTCTCCAGCTTCTTTTCGGTCTTTCTCTTTTCCTTCTCCCTTGTGGTGTCCACGTCAAAATCTGTTTTGGAATCCTGCCATCTGGCATTCTCTGTACATGGCCGTACCATATTAACTGTTTTGTTTTTATGTCATCAACTATTGTATGCTTGACTCCCATCATTTCTCGTATTCTCTCATTTGGTATCCGATCTCTTCTTGATTTGCCTGCTGCTCTTCTCCAGAAGTCCATTTCTGTTGCTAGTAATACTTTCTCTGTTCTTTGTTTCATTGGCCAAACTTCACTGCCACTTTTAAGTATGGTGTTGTATATGAGTTGTTTGTTCGCTTTAGATAGTGTTTGGTCCCACAGAATGCCGTTCATTATGGATATGGCTTTTCTACCCTTTATGTTTCTGTCTTTTATAGCAGCATCGAGTGTTCCATCTTGAGTTATCTTCATACCCAAGTACTTGTATTCGTCACAGTTTCTAATTTCTACCCCATCGTATAATATAATGGATTGTTTTGTCCCTCCAATACACATGGCTTCAGTTTTCTTAATGTTGACTTCGAGACTCCATTTGTTATATTCTTCTATTAGCTTTCGAGTCATGTAACTCAAGTCGTCATGATCCTGGGCAATCAGTATTTGGTCATCAACGAAACATAAGGTGTACAGTGTAGTATCGTCATTAAGAGGTATTCCCATGCCATTACATTTTCTTTTCCATAGCTTGAGTGTTAAGTCCAGATAAATTTTGAAAAGGGTAGGCGAAATACAGCAACCCTGCTTTAGTCCTTTCATGACCTTAAATCCTTCAGGTATCCTTCATCCAGTTTAAACCTTCCAAAAATAAAAAATACTGTGACACGTGGATGCTAAATGGCTTGTAAGCTAACAGTGAATTGACAGATTTAAATAAAACGTCATATACGTTTATATGAAGAGTGTATCAACATAACAAAAAAATCAAGCTAATAACAACACCTTCTATCCCCTCTTCCGAACCGCAAAACTTATTGAACAGCCTAGTATAATTGATTTTCTAAATAATGATAGAACAAGAAGCGGGAATTAATATAAGAGGTTTAAATTACATGTATCCAAGTATAAGAGTATGTTGAACACCAAAATACTTCGACTAGCAAATTTTGTTTGCTTCTATAGAGAGTTAAGAATTTTTCAGTATTATCCTCTTTACATCACTATAAAAAATTAAACAGTAAAATTGAAAAATTGGGTAAATGAGTGACTAGTAATAGGCTGGTACAAGCTAAACAATATTTCATCAAAGAAACATAATCGCATACCCCCGTAGCGTGACTTTTACTGTCTTTATAATTTGCATATCGATTCACGGTTTTGTGACAGGACAGTAACCTTAAAAGCCCGGCAGACTCACATGGCCACATGTTTATCTTAACACCAAAGCCCCACATGCGCAGAAAACAACGCTGCACGTTCAAACATATTTATCAGTCACATGTCATATATATTTAAACATATATATCCATCGCATTGCTCCGATATCCGCCGTCGCGATTTTTTCTCCCATTTTGTACCTTACTATACATTAGTCTCTCAATGATTTTGCAACCCGACTACCAAACAAACCTGTAGCCGCCAGAACTAAGTGGTCACGATCACGAGAATCAACAGTGCACTATAAAGAATTATTTGAACATTAAATCCCAAAAGACGCTGCTTTTGTTTTAAATCTGTTTAAACAAAAAATAATCTACGGTTTTTCTTGATAGTGTATATAAGAATGTCACTGTCGTGAAATGATACAAGTGTAAGATATTGTGAAAATTCAGACGCTATAGTAAACTGTCGCATTTGTTTATTATTTATTTTTGTTGTTTATCAAGTTCGCGTGTCCAAACGTTGTGGCAACAGTGGTATCATAGCGGTTTCTGGGTCATTGGTAAGTTCATTGTAGTATTTTTTTACTATTCTACAGGTTGGTAAACAAGTTATATTCCCGCCAATAATATACTTGACAAAGATATCGCTGTATAGTACCCACGCTCCTTTAAAAGTGACCTAATAGATAAGCAATCAAATCGATTTTAAATAAAGTAAATATTATCAGCTTCACAATATTTGTTTACACATTTTAAATGTATTTTCTATTTTTGCGCAAATATACAATTAACCAATGGTTCGGTTAAATGAAAATGCTCGACCATCTTCCTACGAATTTACGTTATGTCTGTTACCTTCTTGTTTTTTTTTATCGTTTTTTTTTCTACACCATTATTCCTTCACTATTTTATAAAAGGCGTCAGGCTATACCGCAATAGATCAAAAAGGTGGAATGGGCCAAACGCCGTTATTTCCCTCAAATTTTTTACAATTTGTAATTTTTGTTTCTTGTTTCCTCAGAATATAGGTTTCCTTTGAAGGGATACATGGTATACTTTTAAAACTTATATTGTTGATTTTGATTTCATTAGTTTTCTTTTCTGTACTGGTACTTGTCGTGTTGTTTTTTGTTCGTTTTGTTTCTCCTACACGGTTATCTGTCACCACTTGCTCTTCATTATACAACAAAATTTGTCTACACTTATAAAAAAAATCCTTGTCAGGAGTATTTTCAGTCCTAATTGTAGTTTTTTTTGTTTCCTTAGAATGAGGGCTTCCTACGAATGAATCAATAGAATATTATAAAAACCTTATATATTGTTCATTTTAATCCCTCCAATGTTCTTTTCTGTATTTGTACGTCATAATTGCTAAGGCCTTGTAGTTTTTTGTTCGTTTTGTTCCTCCTATCTTTTCACTACTTTCTCTTTATTATCTTCCAAAATTTATCAATCAAAATCTGTCTCATGAAAAATCCTTTTCAGCAGTTTTTTTTAGTCCCAATTCTAGTTTTCCTTTCTTGTTTGACCAGGATGTAGGGATGTAGGTAAAAAACTTTTTTTATTGTTGATTTTGGTGTCTTCTTTTCTTTGGGCACAGTAAATTCGGACATGCATCTTATACCAATGTCTTTTTATAATAAATATTACTCTACTTAATGTAGCTATTGCTGACATTGTGGGGTTATGTCAAGTATACACATACAATATACACAATAAAAGTTTACGTTGCATTAAACCTATTAATTCAGTTTGCTGGATGTAATCTTCGATCATCATGGGTGACTTGAAATAATCGATTAGCTAACTCATTAGAATGCACAAAAATTCTCTTGCGATGTTTTTGCACTCTATTCAATTATTGCTTCTCTATTCGATGAGATTGTTGTATCTCGTCGGGTTATCGTGTTGAGTATGTGGTAAGGAGTATCAAGAATCGTCCTTAGATTATTGTATATTTATGTATGCTCGATAGTCCTGAGAACTAAGGTATTCCCGTAACTTTGACCCGGTCAAGTATCTTGACAATTTTTTTGTGTTTTATGGACTTCGAGACCAAATATGCATTTTAAAAACTTTTGTCTACCAGCAAAAAGTAAAACATTTTCAACGAATTTAAAGGTAATTATTTGATAAAAAACGTATGAAGCTTTAAAATGGGGATGTATGAATGTTGATTTCCTAATTTGTTACTCAGTAAATTATAAAAAAAAAACATAAGAATTCCTTTTTTTAATAAATGTTAAAAACTTGCAAAAATTAACCTATAACATTGACATTGCGCATAATTACATAGTGATTCATCAATTAATTGTTATTCAATTTGTTTATCCCAAACAATTTGTTTTTAAAATAGCATAAGTCAGAAAAAAATGAACTTAAACTGAGTCTACGGGTACCACAAGCAAGAAAGAGAAAGTTATTCTTTCGCTTAAAACTGAATTGCAAAAACACTGCAATTTTTTGCTCTTAAATAGTTAGAATAACTTTTTAGGCATTTTCAGGGAAAAATTATTTATTCAAATTTGAAAAGCTCGCAAAATTTCACAAATAAAAAAAAGTTGTCCTACGACAATTAGGGACGAAGTTGGTTGGTTGTTTTTAAATTCATAAATCGTTTGTTTATAACAATAACGAAACTTAATAAGAGGCATTTGAAAGATCAAGGAGAAAAGTTTTAATGTACAAAAGTTTAAGAAGATTGCCTTTGAACAGAGTCATCTACAAAGCTTCAAAACGTAGAGCTCCAACACTTTCTAACTGAATTAGTGTAGAGTTGCAGTAGTACTTGCACTAAGTTGCACTACAAATTATATCTCCGGTTCTTGTTCATGGATTTTGTCGTTTATTTTTTAATTTGTATGTACTCTTTTCGTACATTTGCGAATTAATAAATTTAATCTTGAATTGATCATGTATAAAAGTTTAAAACAAATTTCGCCAAAAATATTTTTAAACGATATTGTTAGAACAATTTTTCTTGGAAAACATAGGAAGAGATTATCTTACACTTCAATTTACAATAAATTGTTGTAAATAATTATTAAAATTAAATTTGTTCATAATATTTCATGCGATATTATTTATCTACAACTATTAATATTTATTTATCAAACGATATAGTATAGCTACAACTATAGTTGTATATATATATATATATATATATATATATATAAATCATATATATATATATATATATACATATATATAAATCAAATTAGAGTTTGCCATATTAAATAAATAAATTATTATAAATTTAACGGTAACTAATCTATTCTTATGTTTTGTCAACAAAAATCACAAAAATCGTACTACAAATAACGTTAAAATGTTTTTCCACGAATTAGACAATTATTAGCTTAATTTAACATTAAATTTATTAACAAACGGCACATTTGTAATATAACCAAAGAGTACATATAAACTTTATGTTTCATTTTCGATATCACCGATTTGAAAAAAGGGACCTTCGTCCAAAATAATCGTAGGACAACTTTTTTAAACTTATCAGATTTTTGAATATGAAAAATAATTTTTTCATGAACAATAGCAAAAAAGTTATTCAAATTGTTTATACATAAACAATTGTAATGTTTTTGCAATTAAGATTTGCAATGTTCGAAACGGTTTTTTCTATTTTTTTTTAATTCTATTGATAAAATAACTGCCGTTTTTGTTTATGCTACTCGTATAATTATTGCAAGTTCATTTTTTCTGACATATTTTGTTGCAAAAAAGTAGTTTGAGATAAACAAATTGAATAACTTTTATTTTGATCGGAATAAGCCACAATTAAAGTTTAAAATAAGTTTCATGACGCTTCAATTTCCACTTCGGAAATCGTTTTAAAAATACAAAAAATAATAAATTAAACAAATTTTGCTTTTTGTTACTTGGTGAAAACGTCTTCTATTAATTTAATTTTAAAATGGTATTGCCAATATTGCTGAGTTGCGATCCTGGTACGACTTTATTGTAAGATAGTTCATTCGATTACATGAAAACAATTTTAACTTTAGAATATCCGTCAGAAAAAACCATAGCATGTGATTCTTCTTTAAAAAGACAATCACATGCCATGACGGTAAAATTCTCCTGTTAGTAATTCCATAGTAAATTATGCGGAAAAAACCAGGACAAAAACCTCATGATACTATCCCAACATGGTAAGTATCTGGTCTTACATATAGTTTACTCTCAATAAACAAAAAAATCTGATTTTATATGTTTGTTATTTAAAAAACAACTTTCCACGCAATATCAAGGTTGTAGGTTTATTTTTACATTAGTTATTTAACATTTATTGAAAATTAAGAGTTTTTAGGTTCTTTATAGTTTTCTAAACAAAAAATTACTAAATCAACATTCATAAATCGTCATTTTAAAGCTTTAAACGTGTTTTATAAAATAAACCTCAAAATCATTTAGAACTATTTACTTTTTACTGCTAGACGAAAGTTCGTAATTATTAATAATAATTGTTAATAATAATTCAAAAACTCCACCGAACTCATGGCAGGAAGCATGGAGGTTTTGGTTATAGAAGTCAATAAAACTCGAGAAAACTTGTCAAATACCTGGCCGTGTCAAAGCCCTATCAGGGTACTTTTTACTGTGTTTCTCTGGACTACTAGAGCCGAATACCATATCTCCAAAGACGTTTAAATCGCGTTCTAGAGCAGTACTGAGTAGGAATAAACAATTTTATGAGATTTCGATGGATTTTTTGTTGAAAAATGTATAATACGTTAAGTTTTGTTACACATGTTTGTTTTTGTTATATCCTTTTGGTCCGAAATAATGTATAAAAAAGTCTTGGACACAAAACTTATGATCAGGGCTTGGTAAGAAATGAAACTGGCAAATATAAATACTGCGTTAATTAAAGCTAAAATAAATGCCTAAAAACACAATAATTAATATTAAACTGTGAAATATAAACCAACCTAACCACATACTAATCACTAATAAGCTAGAAGAAAAAGTGTCATAAAATGAATAACCATTATTATACCATATTACACCATATTTCACGAAAATTAACCACAATTTTAATTGAAATTATGTTAATTTTGAAATTTGAATTTGCACTTCTCATGAAATATAGTAAATAACATAATACCTGGCAACAATAATAAATAAAGAAGAAACAGGTAAATAGGAAATCAAGGAGAGAATATAATTAAAGAGATGATCAGTAATCTGATTAAATGGTATATAGTGGGAAGAAGATATAACCAAAGGAACAAATTAACAATACACAATTGAAAAGAGTGTTGCTCTCCATAACGCAGAAATTTCGAGATGGACACATGGAATATGAAGATGGCCATATGGCAAAGATTTTGTAGAATATATTATAAACGAGATCGTGCTAGAAATAAACACACAATTATAGAGGATGTGGAAAAACAGTAGCTAGAATGATATGCACACGTAATCCGAATGGAGAGCGGCATGTAATTGGGGAATCCCAAAAGAGAAAACAGATCAAGGATGCCAAAAAAAACCTTGGAAATTAACAATAGAAAAACAATAAATACGAGGAACTTGATTAAAG